TACTTACACACAAATTTTACACATTATATTTACAAAAAATCTTGATTATTCATTTTTTCATTTTTAATAATTAAAATTAATCATAATTTTTTAGATAAAAAAGAACTACTTTTAATAAATATAATAAAAAAATAAATTTTAACAATTAAAAATTAAAAAAATAATAATTAAAGTCTATTTTACTTTTATATTTTGTTTGTTCAATTATTCAAAGTCAAGCTTCATTAATAGAACTAGCCTTACCATGTACAGGGTTCACCGTCCCAGACCTTAATATATAAAATACAGCAATTTTGCATGATGCATGCCTTAATATCTTAACCGATCCTTTCATACTTTGTGGCACTTGCGCCTGTGACTTCCGCCTCCGGCCCTATGGCTTCACCGTCCAAGCAGCTTCATTTCGTGTTAATCCCACTCATGGCGCAAGGTCACATGATTCCAATGATAGATATGGCAAGGCTTCTAGCGGAGCGTGGCGTTGTTGTGAGCCTCATAACCACTCCTCACAACGCGTCAAGGTTTGAGACAGTTATTTGTCGGTCAACCGAATCCGGGCTTCCAATCCAGTTGTTGCAAATTCCTTTTCCTTCCCTGGAAGTTGGACTTCCTATTGGCTGCGAGAATCTTGACACTTTGTCCTCTCGAAATCTCTTAAGAAGATTCTATACTGCACTCGAGATGCTACAAGAACCGCTAGAACGGCTTCTTGAACAGCAGAAGCCTGCTCCAAGCTGCATAATATCCGACAAGTGTCTCTCATGGACGTCCAAGACCGCCGAAAAGTTCAACGTCCCGAGGATTGTGTTCCACGGGATGGGTTGTTTCTCATTGCTGTGCTCTCACAATGTCAAGCTTCATAACACTCACCTCACAGTCGCTTCAGACTCGGAACCTTTTCAGGTTCCAGGAATACCGTTCAAAGTGGAGTTTACCAGGGCACAGCTTCCGGGAGCATTTGTGAAATTGCCTGATCTAGATGATGTCCGGGACAAGATGAAAGAGGCGGAAATGAGTTCTTTTGGAGTTGTCGTAAACAGCTTCAAGGAACTGGAGCATGGTTGCATGGAGGAATACGAGAAGGCTCTTAAAAAGAAGATCTGGTGCGTTGGACCAGTTTCTTTATGCAACAAAAAGGGGCTTGATAAATTTGAAAGGGGAAACAAGGCCTCAATTAACGAGAAACAATGCTTGGAATGGCTCGACTCGATGAAACCCAGGTCAGTCACCTACGCTTCCCTCGGCAGCCTGTGTCGTCTGGTGCCATCCCAGTTGATAGAACTAGGGTTGGCTCTAGAAGCTTCCAAACAACCATTCATCTGGGCTGTCAAAACCAATGATGAATTAGAGAAGTGGTTTTCGGAACACAATTTCGCGGAGAGGATCAAAGGTAGGGGACTTTTGATCAAGGGTTGGGCACCGCAGGTTCTGATCTTGTCCCACCCTGCAATAGGAGCGTTTTTGACACACTGTGGCTGGAACTCCACCATAGAGGCGGTTTGCGCAGGCGTGCCAATGATAACGTGGCCACTCTTTGCTGAACAATTTTTCAACGAGAAGCTTATAGTTGAAATTTTGAATATTGGAGTTCGGGTCGGCGTGGAAGTGCCAGTTAGGTGGGGTGATGAAGAGAAAGTCGGGGTGTTGGTGAACAAAGATGTAATTGTTGAAGCGATAGGTTTGGTGGTCAACAGAGGAGAGGAAGGGGAGGCGAGAAGGATAAGGGCGAATGAACTTGCGGAAAAGGCGAAGAAGGCGATGGGGGAAGGAGGAATATCCTATTTGAACATGTCTGGGCTAATCCAAGATATCTTGGAGCAAGTCAACCGCTCATTCATCAAAGGGTAATGTTAAAATGTTCCGCGGATAGAAAGATACATTGCCATAGATAGTAGTAATTATGCTGGGACCATGTTCCTTAGGAAGTGAGCTGAAGTAGTAGCTTCTGATGTACCAAAAAAAATAAACAGTAGTAACACTATACTGATTTAGTTCTTTCTTGATAGGCCCAATAATTTAATTATGGAATAAATTTGACTTTTTTGTTTTTTTTTTTTTAAGTTTTTTTTAAGTTTTTTTTTTATTGGAATAAGTTTGTAGGAGCAGTAACTTACCAAAAAAATTTATACCATAACTTTGCTTACAGTAATAAACTAATAATTATAAAAGCTACTCCAACCTTCATTATTTTTTTGAAAGAAGGCAAATATTATGCAATATGTTTCTTTGTTCAACTTTAATAGACTTAATTATACTAATTTATATGCTATATCAGGCTCTATTAATTTGATTCTTTGACATGCATCTTTAGAAACGAACCACTCAACTTAAGTTTTTTGCTCAAAGTTTGTCACAAATTAGGCTTTATTTAGTATAATTGTAATTTTAAGTTTTTGGTTTTGTTTTTTAAAAATTTAGAAACCCTAATTATATACATTAATTAAATTTGGAATTTTGGATAATAGTTTTAAAAATTTTATACCCAATAATTGCCAACTTTAATTTTTAATTTTGATTTTTTGAATTTCAAAAATCAAAACGGAAAACCAATAATCACAACCATATTAAAAGTAACTTTAATTATTATTTTTTCAAATTTTAAGGGTGATATATATTTTATTGTACTTTAACTCTATAGTTATCCTTTAACTTTATTTATCTATCCTATCACTAAAATTTT